TTTTTTTTTTAAGAATTCTCTTCTGCTCACCAAGCCTGCATTTATTTGATCCAAAGTACAGCAAAAACAGTACAATTTTGAAATATTTTTACTATTTAAAATAGCTTCTTTCTATTTTAATATATTTTAAAATATTTATTATAAATATACAAATAAAATTATTCCTGTGATCAAAGCTGAACTTTCAGCATCATTACTCCAGTCTTCAGTGTCACATGATCCAGAAATCATTCAGATATGCAGATTTGCTGATTATCAATATTTAAAACAGTTGAGTACATTTTTTTTTTCAGGATTCTTTGATGAAGAAAGATCCAATGATCAGCATTTCTCTGAAATAAAAAGCTTTTGTAACATTATAGGCAAAAACTTTTGACTGGTAGTGTATGTTAGCCTATAGTTTGAAGTTAAAGATATTAATATTAATTAGGTGAGTCTGAGATGATTATTTGACAGTGATTTCACATTTCTTGTTTGTATGAAGGCTAAATACAAATAAAAAGTGAACATTAATTTATTTGTGCCGTTTTTTTTCTAAAATATTATATGGTTTTAAATTAGACAATTTTTCATAAGTTTGTATGCACAGACATCTGTTGTGGGCGTTCTTTGGCAGTTTTTTTTTTATAATGTTCATATCGATATCAGAATTATATCGTGTCGACCGAAATTAAGAAATATATTGTGATATAAATTTTGGCCATATCGTCCAGCCCTAAGAACAAAACAATTAGTGCTAAAGTCCTCAAGTGTCAGAGTATGTTATAATTTAAAAAAAAATTTTTTTTTGCAGCTTTCAACTTTATATATCCCAGCAATCCTATATTATATCCAGAGTTTTTATTGTCACTGCTGCCAGCAGATGTTACATAATAATCAGTAATGACATGTTGTCAGTTATTTAGTTGTTGCAACCCTAGTGTCCATAAATATGCTGTTTGGTAGGCCTATGTTACCAAAAGGTGTGAATGTGCATTTATGTTATAGAGTTTTGTACCTTAAGAGCAGGTTACATCTCATGAACATCTATGGCTCAGTGAATAAACATTGCTTTCGTGTGTGAATATAGTCTCAAAATGAAGCATAGAGACTGTGTTCTCAACCTAGCCTTCCTTAAATTAAAGTTTTAATTGCAGAGAATTCAAGCTACGTTTAGCAGTATGGCAGTAGTCATTAATGGTTGCACACTGCAATTGTCTATTAAAATAGTTTCTCATATTTCCCTTTTCTGGTGTGCAGTAGGAGAATGAGGATGTGGTCTAAGTCTAAGATAGGGTGGACCCGCTAATCACATGTTTTATAAAGGTTCCAGCATCAGGCACTAGTTTATACATCTGTGGAAAAAATGGCATGATGGGAGCTAAACGTAATAAGACTCCCAATCTTTGCCGGAAATGTTTTGCACTACACACTAGCTAGAGTATGTAGTATTATGCAACAGGGTGATGCAATGTCTACCTCGTTTTTTAAGCTTTATAACAGCTGCTTGTTTTTGAGCATTTTACTATTCACTAAATAAATGAGTGCTTGTAGTTAACTTTTGTTATGCCATAATTTTAAATTAGGCTTAGTTAGATTTTAAGTGTCTTCACAGTTGAGTCATCTTTGAAAGAGCTAAGCTCAGTGGCTCAAAAAATAAAACAAGTATAAAACATTCTCATTACAGTCTCTATTCTTAAAATTGTATTCATGTTTTGGAAAGGAAAAAAAAGCTTTTGTCAGAATCGGCATATAACATTTTGGTACTTACACTGTGACAATATTTTTATGGGTCAGTGGAATTTAAGAGTGTCCATGGTAAAGAAAAAGAAAAAACTAGTTCAAATTTAGTTGAAAAACTAAAGAAACGCCTCATATGATATTATAATTTGAATAACACATACCATTATCAACTAAAGCTTGCAATTATTGCAAAGTTTGCACATTTTTCTGGTGTAAAAATAATTTTCTTTACACCTTGAATACTTATATACAGTTGCACCACATACTTATACATACTTGTATAAGATTTGTATAAGATTTTGTCAGACAAAAGTTTTCAAAATATTAATCAGTGATGCAATTTTGTTAAAATGAAACTTTTCTAAGGAATAATAATAAAAAAAGACAATGTCAATGTTCTTTTAAAGAGGATTTTCTCAGGAGTTGTATCACCCTGGTTTTTTATAGTAGTTTTTTTCTTAGTAGTTAATATTT